CGTTATTAAACATTTTCTGTTACACTCAGACTCCGTGCTTGCGAGAGGGGAAGTATTGCCTCTTAGAGGCGCCCGGGGGGTGGTATGTAATTGTCCCAGGTCACTGGGTGGGGGCTCGAGCCGGTTTTGCATTGCGTTATTGAAACGGAACCCCTAGCTACTGAACCCGGCCCTTGTTGCTGCCAACTTAGATGGGCAGAAGGGCTACACAGACAAGCTATTTCTTGTCAGTTCTGCTCAGGTTTTAGCTTCCTATGGTAACCCTTGAAAAGAATACAGCCTGGCCCCACATCTACTCTTGCTGGCAGGGTCTGCAGTGGAGGAGGCAGTCTCTCATCAGCAGTGCCCAAGTGGAGGGCAGGATGGAAGCTGGTACTAATGACCGGAAGCAAGAGAATGAGTTTCTGAGGTTTTGAGACTGACGTGAAGAAATCAACAGTGAGTTTTAAAAAGACGGGTGAGCAGTTTGGATCCTGACGCAAACAGCCCGGCAGTGCGAGGATGGGAGGGGAAGCAACGGCACTGCGCGTGTTAGACGACAGCACAGGGTCTGCACGCGGGCTGGTCGCCAGTGTTCAATAAGTCACATCTGATTGCAGAGTTTCACAGGTAGCTTCTCTCTGGAACAGACGAACGTGTCACCCATTCATACTCAGGGTGGCGCATGGTCCCCCTCTCGTGGTTGGATCACATGGAGGTCGGTGGGCTGGCTCCAGCCTTGAGCTAACGGCTCTGGGTATTTTAGCTCATGCTTTTAGAGACAGAGGTCCCTGTTTGGGGCATAACAGGGTCCTCAGCTTTCATGTGATTCGGCCACTACTGGGGCCAGAGCACCAGCTTGAGTAAACCTGGGTTACACGTGCACATACGTGTTGGCACACACGCATGCTCCTGCATGTACGCAAGAGACCTGACACACACAAACCATGCACACGGGTGCACGTACACCCACATGTACCCACACATGCACACACCCACACTGCATGGACCCACGCACCCAGATGAACACACGTGCATCCACTGACATGTAGCCAAATGCACCCTCACATGTACACACCACCGCAACGCGCACCTGCAAGTGTAGTCAGGTGTGTTGGTTGGGACCCGACTGACTGCACCACTGGGGCCCATGCGCACCTGCAAGTGTAGTCAGGTGTGTTGGTTGGGACCCGACTGACTGCACCACTGGGGCCCATGCGCACCTGCTCCTGTGGGAACTGGCCATTGCCATGAAGATTCAAAGTGTCTGGAACTTACACAGCACATTCAGCGAGACCAAGGTGGAGCTTCTGCTTGTTCTGTTATTCGTTGCCTTGCAGTAATAGACCCCGGCGTCTGCACTGGCCACCCGCTGGAACACCAGGGAATCGGCCAGGCCCGTGGACAGCCACTGGCCATTTCTGTACCAGCTGTAGTTAGTCACGGCCGATGAGTTGCTGCTCACTTGGCAGGTCAGGTTGACCCCCTGGCCTTCCTGCACCTCTGAGGCCGGTGTGGCGATGACCCTCGCCGCTGAGGGGGAAGAGACACAAACAGGATTCAGGGACTGAGCGATGGGGGAAGTGCAAAGCAACGAAAGAATCGTCTCTTTGGGTACATTATGGGGCATGACATAACTGTCTGCTAGGGCTGGAAGACCAAGGGGGCAGCCCATGGGGGTATACGAAGGAGCAAGGGGATGGCCTTAACCCAAGGGGGAGTTAGTCTGTATCCTAAAATCCATTTCCTGACAGTGCAATCTGTCCCCAAGAGATGGGCTGGAGCCCCGTTGCGTGGGACATTTAAAATTAGACTCTACAGAGCTCTAGAAAATTTTCTGGAGGCAGCAGTCCTGCCCCTGGGGGCTAGGAGTGTAGAAGAGGGTCTTTTCCATCACTAGATTCTGTGATTCGATTAGGCTGGGGAACAGGCTCTCAAGAGAAGTGGTGGTAGCTGTAACAGACAGTTAAAATGGGCGTAGGCAAAGTCCTGGAGAATGCACAGTAGGACGTGCGTGTGAGGGTTACGGTGTGTATGCGGGGGGCCAAGGGGGGAGTACATTGGGAGCAGCATACATTAGATGACCTTGTACATCAGAGTTGTATGATGCTTTGAGAGGGGGATTTTGACACAGAGCCAGATTCTGATCTCAGTTACACCAGTGTAAATGCATAATAATTCTATCGCTTTCAGCGGAGTGACTCTGGATTTACCTTGGTGTTCCTGAGAGCAGAATCTGGCCCAGCGATGGGAATCGTTGCCTCTTGGAGTATCGCCGGCTTTGAGGGACTTTGGAAACATTTTGCAAATTTCACAATTGTCTTTTTTTTAGCAGCGAATCAATCAATCGTTTCAAATGTCACAAACGGGCCATTATGTTGCCCTAATTTGGCAGCCATTTTCCTACAGCTATCCCCGAGTTCTATCAAATGGCCAGCGCTTGGCAAAATGGGCATGGCCTAAAGTCATTTGTGATCTGTCGTCTTTATCCAGTAATGTGTGTCCGTGCACAGAAGTTTGGTTTTATGTAGCAAACTCGGTCAAAAGGCCCAAATTGGACACTTACATTTCAGGTAGTTTCCTTTCTTCATGATGGATTAGATGACCTCTTGAGGTCTCGTCCAGCCCTGGGTTTCTATGAATCTATGATACACCTCTACCCCGATAGAACACGACCCGATAGAACACGAATTCGGATATAATGCAGTAAAGCAGCGGGGAGCCCCGGGCCCTTTAAAGCGCCACCCGAGCCTCGCTGTTTTACCGTGTTATATCCGAATTCGTGTGGAGTCCCAAACTCTTTAAATCACTGCCCAAGCCTGGCTGCCGGAGCCCCGCCGGTGATTTAAAGGGCCCGGGGCTCCCTGTAGTGGCTGGAGCACCCGACCCTTTAAATCACCGCTGGGGAAGCCGGTCTCGCCGTCACACCTATAAAGTGGTGAGATTTTTTGGCTCCCAAGGACCGCGTTATATCGGGGTAGAGGTGTATTTAATATTCAGTGGTTCCATAGGATACTGCGGAATCTCCCCTTTTCCTTGTTCCCTTTATGGAGCCCATCCCACTAACTCGGATGCCATCCTAGGAAGCAATGGGGGCATTCCCTACAGGAGTTAATAAGGTGGGATCAGTAGTGAATCACCCAGAGATTCATAGATTTCAAGCCCAGAAGGGACCACTGTGATCTAGTCTGACCTCCTGCATAGCCCAGGCCGGAGACCTGCCCCACAGTAATCCCTAGAGCCGAGCTGTTAGAAAAACATCCCATCTTGATTCAAAACTTGCCAGTGATGGAGAATCCACCCCAGCCTTTGGGAAATTATTCCAGTGGTGAACGATGCTCAGGGTGACCAAACGATTCAATCCTTCACAACAGTCATTTCGCTAAGGGTTCAATCCAGGGCCGTGACGAGTCGGTGGGACACGACCCGCCCTCCAGTGAACCCCCATTGCGATCAGTGGAATTGCTGGGGGGATTTTTTCTTTTTATAACAGCAGAAGGATTAGCGTGAATCGTCCCTTACCGCCAACATGGGGCCTGGCCCCCTCCCTGCCTGCCTGGGTCTCTCTCACACCACCCGCGGTTGGAAAGGCCAGTTCCCTTTGACAAGAGGAACCCAGCTAGGCACTCACTCTCTGCACTGAAGACCATGGAGGTGCTTGCATTGCCGTAGGCGTTCCTAGCCAAGCACACGTAGGTCCCTTCGTCCTCCAGCACCACCTCGCGGATCTCCACCTTCAGGCTGTTGTACGATGGAGTCGCCCTGAGCCTCTGGCCGGTCAATGAGCGGGAGCCACTGGTGGAAGCTACTAATTCATCTCCTCTGTACAGGGCTAATTCGGACTGCGGGTCGCTGTCGGTGGTGCACAGGACGATGCCCAGGTGCCTGTTCTGCGTCTCTAGCAGGGAGCTCATCTGGGGCCGTCTCGGTGGGACTGCAGAGTTAAAATGTTGTTGGCCGATATGTTATTTGACATATGATTATTTACTAGATTAGGAGAAACCCTCGCAACCCCCCCTCCTCCCCAGCGCTCTAACGGGTCCTTCCGATGGCACCAGCAGCCAGGCTGTTGCTCCAGTCTCCTTCTTTGCTCAGACAGGCCTGGGCCAATAAAGGCGAGATAGGAATCTGGCCAGAATTGGAATCTGGAGCAACTGAAGGTCCCTGAGCCGCCAGCCTCGCTTTGATATGACGGACCGTATGTTCTGGGGCAGAACTTTGGGAGTTTAGATGATAACAGTGGGCCAGACTCTCAGCTGGTGTCAATCCGCAGAGCTCTATTTCCTTCAGTGGAGCTACTCCGATTGACACCCATTCAGGAGGTGGCCCAAGGATCTTGCATTTGTATGGAGCCTTGGATCCCGATAGAGTCGAGAAATTTAAACTCAGACACAAGCTATGGGTAGGGAGCACGTCATCCACCTCTGAAATGCACGTGCAGCTCTGCGGTGGAACGTAGCGGCTGTTTTACGGTGCACAGCAACGCTACACTCAAGTTAAGGGCAGGAAGCGAAAACAACGGTTTCCTTCTAAAACGACAGGGAGAAGCGATGGGCAGGACGAACAGCAGTTACCGCAGGTGGAATTTGGGCCTGGCACCGGAGTTAATACTCTTATGAAGAATGCCAGCCAGGGCCTCTCTTTACTGACCATGAATGGTCAGGATACCAGTTCTACTCTACATCTCACCTGCAAGATGACAACTCCACCAGCACCACGCCAGTTTAGCACCCTGCTGTGGAATCTGGATTGTGTGAACTCAGCTAGAAGGTTGCTTGGGCACGGAGGCCAGCTACGGAGCATCAGTTGCAGGACCAGGCCAGTATTGCCAGATTGATCTGATTAACCGACTGGCATCTTACTTTAATAAAGCTTTCAGGGCCAGATTCTGCTCTCAGACAGGCTCGTGTAAATCTGGAGTCACTCTGGTGTAAATCTGGAGTCACTCTGGTGTAAATCTGGAGTCACTCCATTGATTCAGGGATCGCTTTAGTTTCACGATGGGGCAGCTGAGGGCAGAACTTGGCCTTTAGTGTGTGAATTGTGGCCTCCCCAAGATGTCCCCCCGCTGATCTAAGGATTAGCCAGTTCCCTAATCACAAAGAATTCCCTTTTTGGCCTGATTTGGGGGGCCGTGGAAGGGAGGTCATACTTACACAGCACCCGCAGAGTGACAGCCGGAGAGGTGCTGCTGCCTCTCTTCGTCTGGGCCTTACACTGGAAAGCGCCCGCGTCCCCGCTGCTCGCGGCTGGGAGAACCAGGGTGTTCTCGGAGCTCTCCTTCAGCCACGCCGTGTTCTTATACCAGGTATAGCTGGGCCCTTCCTCTGCACTTCGGGTGGTGACACACGTCAGGGTGACTGTGTCTCCTTCGCGCACCTCCGGGGCGGGACTGATCAACACTCTCGCTGCTGAAAGAGGGAGGGAAGGAAACACAGTAAAGCAGGGGAATGAAATCTTTGTCGTGAAACTTTTGCCTGCCTGCTAGGGCTGCCGCCCAAGGTTTGTCCTCTGGGCCTCACATACGCTGTGTGAGCCTGAGCCGCCTCCGTCTAGTCCCAGCTGGACACTGGCCCACGTTGCCCATCCAAATATATGCTAAGGGCTGTGTGAGTCCGGTGCTGTACGGGGAGATGTAATGAAGCCAGGGACACTGAAATCAAACCTCTAGTCCAGCTGCTGAGTGTAGATTCAGCGCCCGGCTCTTGTTTGGGTTTGCCTATACCGCAGTATTATGGGCTTGAGAAAGGGGCTAGGTTGCGGTTCTTTATTGTTTGCTGTTTTTTTATTGTGGCCGGTTTGGGGGAGGGAGGGAGAAGAGGAATACAGGCCATTTATAAGACTGGCAGGATGGCTTTCGGCCTCTCCTCCCACATTGGGATAGCTGCCCCAAAGGAGGAAGGGGGTTTGAAAAAATCCTGTTGAAACTGTTTTTCAATAGAAAAATTGCTTTTTTTTTTTTTGGCAAAACAAAAGGTTCCACAAAAGAATTAGGATTTTGTGACAAAAAAGTCATTTTTTCTGCACAGAAACCAGAACACCCAAAACCAGAAAAGTTTTTGGCTTTTGACCCAAAGCTGAAACACTGCGGTTTGGGAATACTGCTGCAGTGCTTCATGGGAGTTGACGTTCAGGTGCATACTGCCCGCACTCTTCTCTATGGGCTGGGTTCCCTAGTCAAACTACATTTGCCATGATGCACTGCACCACGGAGTCCCTTGATGCACCTGTGATGGCTTAACAAGAAGGGAGCCATGGTGCATCATGGGAATTGTGGTTTGGCCATGAAGTACCATCACTGCATATCAAATTGAAATATTTTTGGTTTCCAGTTGAAATTTTTCTGTCAAAAATTTTGGGTTTTCAATATTTTGCTAAGAAGTCTAAACATTTTGGTGAAAACTCAAAATTTCCAAAATGGAAAAAACAACCCTGAAAAACATTTTCTGATTAGCCCTATTAGGGAGGCTCCTGGCTTCTCCAATCAAAGAAGCAGTTTCCTTCCAGAGAAAGCTTAAAAGAAAAGAGTCCTTGTAAAGATACACCAGGCCCATATGAAACGTCACAGCTCAGCAACACAAGAACTTCAGCACTGGAACAACACGCTCTCTTCATCTCTACCTAGCTAGATCCCGAGCGTCTGCATTATTAATCAGCTGTAGCTTCTTCAAGGCACAATCCGGAAGTCTGGAGAAAAGTGAGTTGAAATCCTCAGTCCCTGAGCTGTCTATAGTTACAACTGGTCAAAAATGTTTACACGAAAGATTTTCCCACTGCAAAAATGGGATTTGTCAAAAAGGATTTTTTATTGTTGTTGTTGTGGGAAAATGTCATTTTCAATGGAATTTTTCAGGCAGAAATTTCTAACTGGAACTAAACTTTTCAATTTGTTCTCAATGAAATTTTTGTTTCATTTTGGTTTTCAAAAATCTAAAAATTATTTAAATTTTGAAACGATAGGAGAAAACCCAAAAATCTTTCTCATCATTCCCTCCCTCTCACTGAATCTAACTGGATGAGCAAACTGGCGAGGTTGTTTCTCCCCCACACACACTTTACTCTTCTTTTTTCCTTTTGCCGCTCTGTAACTGGTCTGAAACGGGAGAAGATCTGAAAAGTCACTGAGTGGAAAAAGGAAAAACAAGGAAAAGAAAAGGTATGGGGCGGGGGACCCATTGGACATTATCCACATGCTTTCACTGGCTAGCCAAAAGGGGGCAAAAAAAGGAAGAGTGTTGAAATGTTTTGAAAAAATATTTAATGAAAAAATATGAAAAATGGTTCCAATTTTGGCACCAACTCTGAAACTTCAAAATGTTCAGTGAAATTGTTTGTTCTGTTTTGTCAGCCAGCTCTGCCTGTATCAGAACGTTAAACAGCATCTCGATAACTTCTTTATTGAGTGTAGGTCTGTGATTGGGTGTAACAGGCCCCCGGGTGATTTCTGGAGGGGTGTCAGGCGTAACTGGTTATCCAGCCCAGCTGGGGAGGAGATGGGTGCTCATAAAGGAAGGCGCACAGGGCAGAAGAAGGGAGGAGACCCAGGTGAGAGATAGCTGAGAGTTTCCTTGGGCTAAAGGATGAGAGAAGCCTGAGAGGCCTGGAGCCAGAATCAGAGGGCCCAGAGCCAGGAGGAAACCTGGAGGCTGGGGGCAGTGAAGCTGGGGCCAGAGGCACATTGTCCCTAGAGGAAGTTGGGTGTTTCCTCTCTCTGGGAAGGGCCAGGGGAAGGCAGACTGAAGAAAGCCGCAGGAACAGAATTAATCCCTGTGGCGGGGAGAGGCAGTCCTGAGGGGTCGGCGTTCCAGCAGAGAAAGAAGGAGGACCGAGGGAGATGCCTGGGGACCAGCAGAGAGGCTGTGCTAAGTGCAGGCTGCAGGGAAGGAGAGTAGACCAGGGTTCCCCTCCCAGCCCTCAGGAGGGGCCTACATGCTTCATGTCAGGACTGTTGAGCCCAGGATGGGGCTAAAGATGGAGCCTCAAGGACAAGTTGAGCAATAGCACCCGAGGGGGCCGAGGAATCTCTTGTCCTGGGACGATTTGGAACGTTTCGTTGCACGTTTGCTACCCCAGCTGGGGAGAGACGTAAAGCGAGCTGGGCGGAGTCGTGAGACAAGGCAGACCACCACTGTTGGCCGAGAGGCGGATAGGTGAGGAGAGCCTGCGAGGCCGCATCCGGACACGAGGGTGCCCCAGCAGTCAGCCGACCTTTCTGTAAGGCTTTAATCAGCTCAGCGGTTTGAGCATTGGCCTGCTAAACCCAGGGTTGTGAGTTCAATCCTTGAGGGGGCCATTCAGGGAACTGGGGTAAAAATCTGTCTGGGGATTGGTCCTGCTTTGAGCAGGGGGTTGGACTAGATGACCTCCTGAGGTCCCTTCCAACCCTGATATTCTATGAAACTCTAAGGATGGTGCAGGTATGGCACAATGGACCGTTGTGAAATGCTCCTCAAATGGAGAGGCGAGAGAGACCCCATTGCCCCCAGGGTTTCCACTGTGAAGGTGGCAGAAGAACGTTACTATTATTAAACATGATGCTCAGAGAAGGCGTCATGCCCAAAAATCCGTCCGGGGGCCTGGGAGTCCCGATTGGTGGCAGCCCCTTACCCCGCGTGATAATCACAAACCGTTTACTCACTTTGGGCATGGAAGAGCTTAGCAGCAGTCGCGTTCCCGTACGCGTTGCTCGCCGTGCACCGGTATTGGCCGTCGTCCTCCGGCAGCACGTTGAGGATCTCCAGTTTCAAGGAGTTGCGGGAAGCCGTGATGCTGAGCCGCTGGGTGGGGGCTGCATGGGAGCTGGTGGTGGCGACGAGGGCCTCGTTGCGGTAAAGGGCCAGTGCAGACAGGGGGTCGCTATCCACGGTGCAGTGAATGAGAGCCAGCTTTCCTTCCTGCGTCTCCTGGAACAAGGTGATTGCAAGGGCCCTAGGGGGATCTGTGCGGTGGAAGGAGACAACGACAGAGCATTGGCGCTGTGATGAGCCAGGAATCGAAGACCCCCCGGAGCATCGCTTATTATAAACTTTCAAAAATGAATACGCAGTCGTGTTAAAAAATAATTTGGGGCACCGCTTTTGGGTGCCCCCAAATCTTGGCGCCCTAGGCGGCCGCCTAGTTCGCCTAGTGGTTACACCGGCCCTGGCTGCAGGTAATCTCTGTCTGTTGCACCTGACCGGGGAGACAGCTGTGGTTGCTGTGAGCTCAAGAGCAACCCGGTCAAATCTACGCAAGTACCAGCATCCCATTATCAAACCTCCCATGATCTCCTCCTGGCAGATATTTGTGGGGCAGTTGATATTGCCTGGAGCAGGGATGGTTTCCCCCAGTTTTTACTGACAAACGTTTCAAGGCAAAACTCCCTAAATATTTATTTTCCCCAAACCTGCAAAATTGTGATTCCCCTTTCCCCCCGCTGCTGTGTTACTCAGAGGCTGTCAAACTGGGGAAGGGGACGCTCTGCCATGTCCCTGAAAATCTCCTCGGTGCACCTCTGTGTCTCCCTTCGCTCCCCCAGTTCAGCCCCTCTGGTCTCTGAAGGCCAGGAGCTGTTTGCACTGAATGCACACGTATGCAGCCTGCCCACAACCATACATGCTGTATTCAGTGCAATAAACTGGATATCCTCCCTCGTCCCCACTCTGCTGGACGGCTGCTGGCGCTTTTTTTACTCTTGCAGGATTTTGTGGTTTGCTTTGGGGGGGGAGGGAGAGGGGTTAAGCTTAGAGAATGGTTGTTAGGTGTATCTGCCTCTCGCACCCCCGCTCTAAACTCAGGGCCGGCTCCAGGCACCAGCCCACCAAGCATGTGTTTGGGGCGGCGCCTGGAGGGGGGTGGCGCGGCGGGGCGCTCCTGCCCGAGAGCAGGGCCTCGACTGGGCTCGCCGCCCTCCCCACGGCGCTCCGGCCGCCGGGGGCTCTCCGCCTTCTCCCCAGCGCCG